CTCTCACCGCCCCTGAGCCTCTGGCCTGTACCCAGTTCTGTATGCACAAATAAATAAAATCTTTAAAAAAAAAAAAGTATAAGCAAAATAAACACAAAAATATCCTCAGCCAGTGTTTTAGGTTAATTAAAAGAATACAGCTGGCTGAAACTCCGTAAAGGGTAATTTTGCAAGTATATTAAGAAACTTAAAAATGTTTCTAACTTTAATTTTTGACCAAGGGATTTTTTTCTAAGGAAAGATTGGAAATGGAAACAAAGCTATTTAAGAATCTTTGCCATAATACAAGATATAATGGCAAAATTTTGGAAACAGTTATTCATCAAAAATTCCTTAAAGAATGCTATAAACCAATGACTTCAGTACTATGAAAAATTACATTTTCTAGTATTTAATATCACAATCAACTTTAAGTAAAAAATGTTGGACATAAAACCATCCTTATTGTTGAATATCACAGCTGGAAAACAAGTATGTTTGTATGCATTAAAAAAAATCTGTAAAGAAACATAATCAAATGTTGACAGCATAGTCTTCATATATGTCACCATAAGCATCAACTTAAATCAGTTACATTTTTTAAAAGCCTGCACTTACTAAGAAAGGGACTACTTCTCCTAATCACAGTTTCTCACTTACGTTGATTCAGATCATTAAACACTGGAATATTGGTTAACTATTACATAATATTTTTTTGTATCTTCTATAGCCACAAAAATTTTATACTTGCATACCTGTTATGGAGGTATAAAATTGCTATAATCTACTGTGGATGTGTCTTATTTCAACCAAAACTATTTCAATTAAACTCGTTAGCAGTTTAACTATCTTGTGTCTATATAAGCAGGTAGACAATATAGTGACGTAGAACTCGGTTTTGCCATTTTGGCTGACTTCTGAAGTAATGCACTCCTGGGCCGGAGACAGGACCTTGCTATCTCAAAGGCACGGCCTCAACACTTGTGTCGGTTTCCTCTGGTCTCCAACCCCCATCGGGAGATGCAACGGGTCCAGGCCTGCACTGCACGGCTTGAGCTGGGGAAGGGACACTGAACGCAGGGGCTGCTGTTTTCTCACACGCCTTAAGCAAGCTTGCTTTTCACCCCCGAAGGAGATATTACCTCATCCTCAAAGTTGCTTGCGGCCAACACAAGAGGGAGGAATGGCCCCGGGGAGAGGGATCCGAGCCATGTATCCTTGGCTTGCTGGCAGCTCCCCCAGCAACACACTTCTCGGCCATACATGTTCTTGGCTAAATTCAAATTTTTACACGAGCGTCCCTTCCTTGTGCTGAAGTCAAGTTTTATTACTTCACATTATCCTTCTTACAAATGAATAAGTTATTCTAGTACTGGTTTTTGGATGCTGGCTCTTGACTGAGAGACAAAGGCCTTGTGTCTGTATACACTGGGCAGGAATATATGTGGGTATTCAAAGACCACAGAGGTTTGCGTTTCAACACTGACCTAAAACATTAGCTATGTAAATATGTACTGGTCACACCTACCCAAGAAGTACTCTGTCAACAGCTACATTAGTGGAGGAAGAAATCAGAAGTTTCCATGGTCTTGTATTTCTAGCTGTAAGAGCTTCACTCTTTTCAAATAGCTGCACGAAGAACAAAATCACCACTGCCAGCAAGTAACTCTTTCCTGCTCCAAAAACACCTAATTTTGTTGAAGGGAAAAATAAAGATCACATAAAAAAATTCTGAAAATACATACTTTATCCACCTACTTTCCTCTTGCTTTTATTTAATGCATCCCTCAGAAATGCTGCCCACTCCCCTCTAGCGTTTACTTGGGCCGGCTCGGATTCAAAACGCTTGTTTAGTGATTCTGGAGTCTTATTCCACTGGGACATCATTAACAAGCTGACCGGGATACAGAAGCCGGGGTAACACCGTGTCTTCAGGGCGCTTTTCCCGCTTGCTGCTCACCGTGGACGATGGTGATGGGGAGGCTGGGGCTTGGCGGCTCCTGCACGGTCTCGGCCCCTGTGTGAGGCGCCATCATCTGAGCTATCTGCATTAGGGCTGCAGCTTGATCCGCGTTTAACTTGTGGGCCTGAATGAACTCACTGGCCAACTGCTCTGTTGCTTCCAAGCTGAGGAGTTCACATTTTGTGTTGCTAGATGTGCAGGCTGGTGGGATGAATTTGCTCTTGTTAACTCTCTTGCTGCTACCTGTAGTTGATGAAGACCTAGTAAAAGGGGAGCAAGTCAGATCAAAGAAAAATGAGGGACTTTGGAAAAGGTGATAGATGTATTCATAATTTAGCCTTTATAAACATAGAAAATAGTTTTCTTTACAGGCACATGGCATTCTGGAGGGTAGGGAAGAGAATTAACATGTGCTGGGGCTGTGTTAGCAGTCATTTTACATGTATGTTGATGACATCTCGATAACAATTGTTAGTGAACGATCCCAAACAGATACAGAAACACTACATCTATCCTCACACAGCACAGTTAATAAGTGGTATAGACTAACTTTGATGCCCATGTTCTCATACATAATGCTGACTGAGATCATTAATATGGCCCCTTATTTCTGGTAACGAACAGCAAATAAATTGTCTTTATTCATTTCAATGTAGGTAAGTAATATAATGGAATCATAAGGATTTTTTAACAAGGACTTCGTTGTGCTGAGAAAAAAAATGAAACACTGGTCCAAAGTAGATCCTAACTTCCAAATTAGAAACTAGACCTTTTTCTGTCATTTTAAAAAAATAATATAATAGTTTATTTTTACATCATTTTGTGCCTTTTTCCATCTCAGTTGTAATCCCCAGGGGCTTCCCATCACCAAATTTTACCTGTGTGCCATTGACTTTTTCTATCATTTTAATATATCACTTCTGATTTTCAAAAAAGAATGGGACACAATTACTATCAAAAATAAAATAGGTATCAATATACATAATGGATTCAAGCTTGTTAAATGTGTCTTTTAGAGATTAAATAGTTTGTGCATTAAAATAAAGTTGAAGAGAAAAAAAAGACACTCTAAATAGCCTCAAGAAATTGTTTCTTGACAAACGGAAAAAATGCAGTATTTTTAGCTGTAGTCACAATAAACAGAGGGAAGAATGGGTAGCTGGAGGAATGGAAAGTGATATATTTATGTCCTTTTTTTATTTTAAACTACTGACAAATAGTCATCTCATAATCTGAATGCGATTTAAAATTTTATTGGCAATACATATGTAACAGAGTTTGAATTTTCATATTCACATCTGATCACTTACTTTTGAGCATCAGTGATCCCTAGGTCAGAAGCTACTTACATTGTTAACAGATACTGCATTAGAGGCAGCATAGCTGGATTGAAGTTGTCCTGGATGTTCTTCAAAGTGGTCAGCTCTGTGCTGGCGTTACAGACCAGTAACGCATGCACCACTGCTGTAGAAAGGGCAGAGGCACAGAGCATGTAATGACAGTATGAGAGATCATGAGAAACTAAATACTCATGTAATTCAAGAGTTAAGCTACTGACTCCATTATAAGACATACACTTTTACTTTATGCAAAGATCCGATCCTTTGTTCTTTAAGATACTCATTCACACTTGATACATAGATACCATAAAACGCGAAACTCAAGTAAGATCAGGACTTCCATAATCAGGGGATGAACAGATCTGAGGAAGCGAGGGCCTCATGGCACTCCTGGACAGCAGCTCCATTAAATCAACACTCCACTTTGTGCTGGACTAGTTATTTGAGTCATTTTTGTACATTTTCCCTATACTTCTTCCTCGATTATATAATATATAAAAAGCAGAAAATTGCAATGCTGATATTGGTGAAGAAGTAATTACAAATATGAAAAAAATGCATAATGTGAAAAGTTCACTAATTATAGAGTCTCATTAGAATCAAACTGGTAAATCAGATTCATTCAGTTCTCAAAGAAAAATCAGAAATTAAAAATGTGCATGAAACCATTGAAATATATCATTAAAGTCTGTCTTTCAGTTAGAATCAAATTCAAGCAAGAGAAATTATTCCAGAGATCAAAAGGTGTACAGAAGGTGTAGACTCATAGCATTGGATGGGAATTCAGCTACCTAAAGTTTCCTTTATTTAAAGAAAAATGAGGCAAGGTGCAGTTTCTCAAGCATTTCTCAAGACAAATGATAAAATACCCAGATAAAAATCATCTTCCTGCTTAACTCCCTGAATAATCTCTTGCAGAACCTCTACAACCTTCTCAGTGAAACAATAAACAAAAATCTGTTTATTAAGTATACCTGATTATGACAGAATTAGAACTGGAGGTAAGAAATGATTTGAGTTCTTACTCATGTTTAGTGTCTCTTTTTTTAGAAAGAAGGTATATACTGTAAAATTCAATTCTGACAGAATATTTTTGTGAGGCTTAAGATGTGATTATCTTATTAGCTTTCTGGGATGCAGACCAGAATTATTTAGAATCAACTTCCACACACATTGTATACGAGATGGTGGGAAGTACAGAGGGCACTTTCAGTTGGCTTTAACAACACAAAAGTTAGCCGTGTTGCTCAAAATACATCTCCGGTCCCTCACGGTACCGATTATACTAATTAAGACAGAGATGTTAATACTTACTGTTGGTGGGCCAGTTGGAAGGGAAATAACCTTTCAAAGGCAGTAGCTCCACCTCACTGATAGCTGACGGCCCAAAGAAAGCACTGCATGCAATAAAAGTGTCCAATTCAAAGTCTAGAGTTTTGGAAATCACCCAGAGATCATCTGAAATGGCAAGCATTTTTTTTAAGTGACTCCAAACAGTGCTTAATGCAAAGCTAACTGGATTTCTTAGATACATAAATAAAAGAGTGCATAACTAAAATAATCTGCATGTTGTTTTATGCATAAATAATCTTTTAAAAAACTTAATAAACTTGAAAGAAATTTTTAAAAAGCCAAAAAACTTTAAAAACAATTAGTAGAAAATTATATATGAGTAATTTTTAGATTAGCATAGGGAAAGAGTTTTAAAATGAGATATAACTCACAATATAATTTACTAAGTTGTACTTTAAGACATCTCTTTAATATAAAAATTTTGCAGAACTACATGCAGCACCAGCATCTCGGCTCAACATACCTTTGCTGTAAGTTGAAGAGCATTCCTTCCGACTCAGCTTAAGGTAAAGTCTGCTTTTAGGTTCATTATAAAATTCAGGATTTATAGTAGTAAACTTCTTTAATTTTCCATATTGTTTCCTTTGAAAATCAAATCCTTTTCTGCACAATGAGTAAAGAACAAAATGAATTTGATATAAAGTGCAACATTTTTCACCTGTGCTAGCTTAACGTCTGTTTCGGCGTATCACATAATGGTCCTAGTTATGTGTATTTATTGAAATATACATAATACATTCAACATCACACATTTTTCTCTTGCTATGATGCCTTTAAGTCTACCCTTTTGCCAACTTTCAAATATACACTTCAATGTTATTAACTATGGTTCCATATTCTTTACATTATACTCTCGGAACTTATTTGTTTCATAAGTACAAGTTTGAAAGTAAAAACTTAATAATCTTTGAAGCACAGTATGAAAAGAACTGGGGTGTGTATATGTTTACATAGTTTGATACATGTACCCAAAATATAATATAATGTCCAAGGAAAAAAGAGCAACCTTCACAGCATTATTAGTTTTAAAAAATACTGAGATAAGAAAAGTATCCAAAAGACAGAGTGCCTAAGTATCTTTGTCAAATTCAAATAAGCATCTCTGTTTCTTCTGTATGTTACAGGATATGAGTAAATGGAACTATACATGTAATGTGCTTAGAAAAGTACCTGGCTTGGGTAAGTTTCCAATAAATGTTGTCATTAATAAATTACCAAACACACAGTCATTATATTTCCTTTCTGGGTAATCCTACTTTTCTAAGACATGTTTCTCAAAAGTAACATTCTATATAAGTTACTTTTGTGGTTTGTTCAATAGGGTTTCTCTTAGGATTGTGACTATATATTAAAATGAACAGAAAAATAGTAGTATTGCCAGTTTTTCTGATATTGCTAACCCTGCTTGATGGTTAGAGGGGATCAAACATACCTCTTGTTATAAGATCTGAGATACTCTCTTCTAGGTACTTTTTATATCTCAGGCTCTTAAAACTGGTAATACTGTCAAGGCTACAGTTTCTGACAGAATTACAGGTGGTTATTTGGGATGCTAACACGTACCTCACTGAAAGTTGACATTCCTCATAGAGGGGTATCTTCTGACTTCTTAAGTACAAGCCAATACTCTTTATATCACTTAAAACCTTGGTAGGTAGAGACTCTCCCTGTGTAAAACTTTCTGGAGTCACTTCTTCAAACCACTTGAAAAATTTGCATTGGTCAACTTTGGGCCCATCACAGGCATAAAAGAGACGACCCTAAGGGGGAAAAAGCATTAAGTTTAGTGAGAAAAATGATATTTTTATTTTTATTGGTTTTGTATTGTTTATTATGACTTTAGATAAAGTTTGCTTGGCAGTAAAGCACTTCAACAATTTCTTACTATATAACATCCATTACCATGCATAATTACTATTAATTTTTTTCATAACTTAAGCAACAATTTAAAATTAAAACCATCTTTTGCATTATGTTCTTTTAATCAAAAATCACATTTTCCTGACAATATAATATTATAAAAGTTTTTTTCTTTTTTAAAGATTTATTTACGGATGCATGCAAGAACTAGGATACAGGCCAGAGGTGTGGCGGTTATGAGGATTTACTAGAGACAGAGGGAAGCAGAACAGGCAGATTCTGTTCAGTGAAATATACTGAGGGGAGCAGCAGGTGGGACATGAGAAGTCTGCCACACCATGTGGTCACCTCCCTGCCCAGGGATCAAACTTGAACTCATGCTGCAGTGGTTTTGGATAGCTTCATAGTGCTGTGCTTTAACAAGCTGCACCACTAGGGAGGTCCCAAAAGGTACTATTTTTCTCATTTAAAATGTTGCCTATAGGGCCCTCCCTGGTGGTGCAGCAGGTTAAAGCGCAGTACTAAGAAGCTAAAGCCACTTCCACATGAGTTTGATCCCCGCCTGCCCCAGAGGTGACCCACATGGTGTGGCAGACCTCTCCTGACCCGCCCGCTGCTCCCTTCAGCAGAGTACTTTGTCGATCTGCCTGTTCTGATCCCCACTCTGTCTGTGGTGAACCTTCTCGCCACCCTCCATCTCTGGCCTGTACCCCAGTTTTGTATGAATAAATAAATATTTAAAAAAAATGTTGCCTATAGACAACCTAAAAGCTGTCCAGATGTTCCTGCTACAAGGAACATGATATGCATTTCTTCCCTCCCTTTTCTCACTCACATACAGAGACGGACAGACACATGATCCACATAACTGCTGTTTTATTTTTAACAGAATGATAGATTTTTCTACTTTAAAACCTAACCCATCAACATAGCATGAGCATAATTATGTCATCAAGTAATTTTAAGACAAGGAAGATTTTTTTGTGGCTCTGTTATTATTCATGAATTCTGCTTTGGGCAACAACCCCCCCTTCTTTGTTTTTTCAAATTTCATTAATTTTCCAATTATTACCTAAGTATATAATTTGGGTAATATGACAAGTAGATTTCAATCCAAATTTACATTCTCAGTGAACGATGACGTGGAATGTGTGAACACCAGGAGAAAGAGAATACAGTGTTATACATGAGTAAGAACTGTTGATCTCCACTTCTTACGTTCACGTGCTCCGGAACAGCATGTGACGGCCTGGTCAGGCAGAATGCTTTCCTGTTCCTTTGACTTCACCTATTACTCACACCGGGGAGCACACGGTAGACTCATCTCTACATACCGTCCACCCCAGTTCGGACAGATCCCCGCTCTGGTGCTTCCTGTAGTTTGGCCATCTTCCTCCTACTGGATCACTTACAACATTATATATAATCCCTGTCACATCTCTCTCCATCCATCCACTGCTAAGCAGTAATTGCTCAGCAACCTGAAGACTGACCTTCTCTCATAGTTTCTTACCCTAGCACACTGATCCTCTCTCAGTAAGAACCTGAGGGTTTACTGTATGTTATTCATTATCGCCTCCAGTAAAAGCTTGCTCTTTCAGTAAGTTTGTCACCAAGCAACAGCTTCCTAAGCTTTCAGAAGACCTGCATTTGGCGGACAAGCAGAAGAGTGGGCACTTTACCTTATTCGGCCCTTCCTTTTTAACCATGACAAGTTTCGCAGGCTGCTGATGATGGCAGGATGGCACGTTGTTTTCTGTATTTTTCGGTTTCTCTCCTTTTGATGACGTGTAAAATGATATGTCAACTTTTGAAAGAGCTTTGTGCAGCTTTTGTGCCAACCCAAATAGCAAAATATTTAGATGTTCTACAAAAAAAAAAAGATAATACAGATTAAAAACATAGTATGATCTGCAGGTGCATCATGTATTGTTACCTAGATTTGAAAATATCCTTTCAATAAACTATATACTGATATCTTAATACTAATATCCATGTAATAAAGGCAATATTTGACCTTGTACAACAAAACACACTATCAAAACTAATTGATGATGCATTATACTGAAACTTCCCTGCTTACTTAAAAACCATCTTACGGTTCTAATTTTTAAAATTCTAAACTAACTAGATGACAATGTTGTCATTTCCACTTTGAAAGCTCAAGTTTGACCTGAAATTAGAATAAGTTATTGTGAAAAATTGAGAAATGTGGAAAATAACAGACATGTGGAAAGTTTATTATGAAATTCACAACATGCAGAATTACACTTTCTCAGTTACACTACTCACATAGAGCAGCAGTCATCACAGAAGGAAAAACTCAGTGATACCTATGAGACAAGATGTAAAAATCTGCTTGTAATGTGCAGGAGACTGAAAAGCAGCTGGTATGTGGATTTGCCTTCGGGGAAGATAAGTAGATTTTATTTTCTGCCCACTTGGGAAGCACAGCTCAGAGTCACTGATCTGAAATGAAATAATTCAAGTTATAATTATTCCAGGAAAATATTGCTTAAGAAAATAAACGAATTTTCTTTTTAATGTCCAGAATTCCTGAATGTCATCTTCTAATTTTAAATGAGAAACTTCACATAGCAAGAATGGCTTTGCCTCACACTCTTTTAATTATAAATAGGATGATGTAAATTTTTCTTGCCTGCACTTTGATAAGTTTTTACTTAATAAGTAAAATATTTTTGGCTAGGAAAAAAATAACCATGTGAGTAGATAGTTATATATTGCCATTTCTGCATCACAACTGTAATAAACATTCACAACCAATGTATAATGCAATTACGCTAATGTAGAATGCAATGTATAATGTATTACGCTAATAGTGACTAGCAAAACTGAGCTGATGGTGAAAAATAAAAACAATCTTGGTAATAGGAATAGTAGAAGCAGATGTAGAAACAGCAGCTACAATCTTCTAAGGACATACTATGTGCCAGAAACTGTACTGGCTACTTTCAAATACATAATTTCATTTAACACTCAACTACTAATAAGATCTGGAGTCAAAGTAGATGTAACTGTAGCTTGAGTCTGGGAAACTTAAAAGTGGACTCCAAGAGGAAAGTCATTACTGCTGCGCCGTTCTGGTGACTCCTTTGTTGAAATCCAGACAGAAGCTACCAGGGAAAAATGCAGCAAGAGATGTCAGTACATTTCCTCACCTGAAAATCTCCTGTTACACCGTGGCTGTAGCAGACAGACTCTCCTAGTATACTCTGAATTTCCTCACTCTTGGAAATCGGCTTTAAATTCAAAGAATGCGCCTTCTTTCTGGAAACTGAATCTTGGGTGCTAAAGTCCTGCCGCTGCAGCATGTCTTTCATCATTTGCAAGTGCACTGCATCTGAGGTGCTCTTGCCCACAGCATCACTCCACCTTCCCCCTGCACCACTGCACCTCTCAGGAACGGCCTCAGCAAAGAAGCTGTCTGTTGCTCGTGGGCTAGCGCTGCCTGGGGCGGCCCAAGTGCGCTGTGTTACCTTCTGATATTTCAGCCACTTGCTTTGAATAGGCACATTACGGGGAAGCAAAACCTCCCCTGGAGTCACATCCCTGAATTCTTTAGAGAAAGAAGTTTCACTCTGGTGCCCAGGACCAAAGTCAAAGGAGACAAGTGCTGACTTTTCCCATGCACTGGGCACAGAGGACCCAGAAGCCTCTAGCCTGCCACAGGCCGTCAGGTAGGGATATGGCAAAGTGGTAAGTGGAACTTGGGCTCTACTTACGAATGGGAGCCTTGGGAGGTTCGTATTCTCCAGAAAACTGGCTTTTTTCATGACTGAAGGGGGAAAAAAGCTGATTAAATAGAGATGTCATTGTCATCAGACTTTTGGAAATGATGGGTAGGGAAACAAAAAAAGCAGAAAGGACTAACATGCCTTACAAAAAGACCCAAAAGGCAGACAAACAAAAAGAAAAACCAGAACACCAAGTACAAAATTGTATTTTCTATCTTAAATTAAAAATTATTTTAACCTCATAAATATCTGAACACTTAATTAACAGGCCCAAACTTTTTTTTTAAAGTTGATGAACCTCAAATCCTCCTTTTTCTTTCCTCTCTTAACTGAAGACTCACCCCACGCAGCTGACAGAATATTGACATGGCACGTAAAGTTTTCAGCTTTACAGCAAGAAAAGGTTCACCATCCTCACTTGACAGGTGAGATCACAGAAACCCAGAGGTGACATGACACCAACTGGCAGGTGAGAACGAGAGCCCAGAATTTTCTGTTCCTTCCCCAGAATTCATGGTTATTTGACCTTACTCCATGATTGAACTTCCTTTACATATTTATTATACTAGTGATTAACATGTTGACCTTCATTTTAAAGATGCGTTTTAGTTTTTAATCTATTGGTGTGTGTATTGTAGTTCAGTTCTGGTAAACTCATGTTATAGCATATTTTAGCTGAGTTATCATTCCTTCTGTTTGTCAGCAGCATTAGTAACAGATGTATTTCTGAAAATGTTAAAGGTAAAAACTTTTTCTGAATTAATAAATCAACAAAAAACACTGCATGGGAACTATGTAATTTTTAACATTTTTATCTGACAGGGCTGCGGTTCTGTAACATACCTTCTTGACAGAATAGTCAGAAGTCAGTATTGTTTTTATAAAGTGTTAGGATGCATTTACCAACAAGCCAGTCACTACAGAGTGAGAGGTTCATGTGTGCAAGCACCTTTTACTGAGCTGTCCTCCACCTGCTTTGGATCACCTCCGCCCAAACCGTCACTTCCCTCTGGGCTACACCAGCCCCGCCACCCAGGCACACCACAAAGTTTTTCTTTTTAATATCATTTGCCCATGACCAAATCTAGTTCCAAAGCAGGTTAAGTCACTCACGAAACTTGATACTTGATGGGTGAGTGACAGGTTAGTGAAATATGTCCTCTGTTTAAGGAGTTCACCATGGCTGCTGTCTCTCCTTCCCTGCCTCCCACTCACTGCGTAGTTAACCCACTCTAAACTGACTTCTGGCCTTACTGTTTCACTAAACTGCTCCTGCCAAGGTCACCTTGACCTCCAGGTTGCCAAATGCATGTTTTTGTCTCACTCAATATAGTTTTCAATAACGAGGAAGAGAGTCATTCACATCCTTTATACATTCTAGTAGAAATAACTGCAAACTGTAGCAG